GTTTTCAACACCGCCATATTTGGCGATTTTCATTTTGTTTTGGCGTAGCCAAACGCCCTGAAAATTTACAGATGCGTACTTCACAGAATACAAAACTCATTAAAAAAGTTTCAAAATATAATATTTTTGTTTAGGGCCCGCAATAAAGTAAAAACAAAAAGTAAAAAGTGAAAAAAAAAAAATAGTAAGCGGGCGAGCACGTTTTGACACCACCATCTTTGGCGATTTTTAATGTTTTTTTGGCTTAGCAAAATGGAGTTATCACTACTTACCACATCCATTGGACTGCGCTTGTTAACTTACCTGGAGTTATCTTACCGGGCTAGAGTGAGCACGAACGAGATTCCATCGTCTGCATTTTGATTGATTTGCTGTAACAAGACGGAAGACTGCGTCATACGTCTGGACGAGTTGATGGTGCTTAGTTGCCATACTGTTTCGGGACCTGTTTGACGGCCGGTGCGGCAAAGGTCGGAGGAACGGCGTCATGGCCTCACGTGACTATGATGACCGAGGCGAGCAGGAACGAGGAGATCGGTCGCGCGACACACGTGATGATGACGGAGAGCGAAGGCCGTATAGGCCACCTACTTGCTTTGTGTGTCAGGAGGTTGGGCACTATGTGAATCAGTGCCCAAACCGGAATAGACGTTCGAACGCGCGACCGTCTTCAGCGTCTGATTCAAGGCGCTCAAGATCTCCACACGGGTATGACTCGAGAAGGAGAGAGATCTCTCAGCCACTTAATCCCGAGCTGCGGGATACTATTGTGAGGCTTGGCAAGAGTGTCGCGGTGATGGAAGAGCACTATGCTGCCGAACGGGAAAAGAAAGAAGCAAAGAGGAAGAAGAAATTGGAGAAGGAGGAGGCGCTACGGCGGGAGGAGGAAGAATGCGTTCGAACGGAGGAAGAACGTGTTAGAACTGAGAAGAAGGCGCTGAAAGCCAAGCAGAAGAAGGCTTTGGAAGCAGAAGCACGGGCAGCTATGCAGAAGGATATGAGCATACAGCTTGCCATACAGGTTGGCGATTTGGAAAATCGACTGGTTGAACGGATGTATCAGGTTGTTGCGCCAGCACTTACTCCAAGTCGCGAGCGTGGCAAGAAGAAGGTGAGGTGCGCATCGGATTCGGATGAAGCGTCATCTGCCCACAGTGAGGGTAGTCATACGAGTGTAACACAGGAGCTCAATGAAAAAACTGAGCGACTATGTATTTCAGAGAAGAGGAAGCGGGGCGCCGAACCAGTTTTCGAACAGCCAAGTCCTCTGATGGAGCTGTCAGCGAAGAGAACTCCGAAGCGAGGTATCCTGAAACCAGTGAAGTTGACGGGATGGTTGACCCGCTCGAAGTCAAAGAAGGCGGGCGGGGGCTTGACACCTAAGTCAAACAAGAAGAAGATTGCTACACCTATTTCGAAACGTCGTACTTCACCAACGTGTGCCGCAACGACTGCATTGACCCCAACTGCCAAAGGGGCCCTTGCCCGTCTTCGCTATCGAAATGATGTGCTCAAGGAGCTTAAATCCTTGGATGCTACCGAGCTGCAGAGCATCTGCCGTGAAGAGGGATTGCACTATGATAAGAAGATCGATGCGATCTTCGATATTGCTGACCATCGGATTGAACGAGCCTTCGGGGGGGCGGCCGCAGGGAATGTTGAGGTAATCGATGTTGTTGCCTCTGAAGACCTCGGTGGGGACGGGAAGGTGGAGCCTGCCGAAGGGGGAGATGTGTGATGTGGCTTACCTGTACAGAAGCTATGGAAGCTTTGTCGATTACTTGCGCATGAACGTTGTGAATCTGCCGCTGTTAATAGATCCGTCGATGGGGTTTTCCGTTTGGTCTTTTTGTTACTAGCGTTGCAAGGTGAGATTCGGTGGGCCAATAAGTGTATTCCGAAGTGGCTGGAATTGTATGAGAATCATGGTCTCGACTTTCTTAGACTTAGCTCCTGCGTGTATATTGGGATTTCGCCGTTTTGTAAATTGTCGTATGTCGGCAAATCTACGATGGATGTTGATGTCCACTGGAGGGAACATATCTATTGTTGTAAGAAGCGAACCCGATCACACTTTCATCGCTGGTTAACATTTTTTGGGGTTGGGAATCATGTGTTGATACCTATGGATATTCTGGTTGGTGGGGATCTGACGGTTTTGGAGAATGCTTATATCAAGATGTGGTCCTCGTTCCTCAACACATGTGGATGTAGGAAGACTAATGCTGGTGGTAAGCCAAAGAAGCGGGGAAAAAAAGAACGTGTCAAGCTGAAAGTCCATCAGGTGTTTCACTGGAAATCTGTTCGTTTTCGTGTTATTGATTCTGAAGAATGGCGTGTGGACTTTTTTGCTTTCCTGAATAACGCTTTGAAGGATGGGAATACTGGTGTGGATTTTTTTGTTCAAAGTGGGAATGTGTGGGAACCAGGCTGGAATAAAGTTGATAAGACTTTCGAGGAGACCAAGATTGTGTCGAAAGAGGGCATTGCCCGCCTAAAAGATTGAAGGAGTCTCTTACAATCGGGAGGACTGTTCTCCATTTTGCATGTTTGTAAATGGACATCTAAGTGTGGATTCTTTAAGAAAGTCTTGATCATCATCCTTCG